GAGAGAGAGAGAGAGAGAGAGAGAGAGAGAGAGAGAGAGAGGCTAAGCATATGTTTGAAAACATAAATCACATTTAAAGATCTGGCACTGTCTTCTTTGATAAACCATTTATTATTTTATCAGATTAGTCTTCTATTTACAAGTTCTATCTTAAGGCACATTGTTGAAGGACTTCTGCCATTCAAATATATGCATGTGTGTTTTTGAAAAGTCTGTTTTTTCATTGTGAAATTGGGCTTTTCAAGGAAATTTATGAAAACGAATACATTTGTTAATTGAGTAATAGTCACCCCTTTGGGGCATTATAAATAATTGTCTCTGGTCTTTTGGAGGAGAAATATAAACCAAACAGACTTTAATTCCTTGATATTTGTTTCTTCTTGATTTGAGATTTAGACCTGTGTCTGCTTTTTCAGTGTAGCAGGTCTATTATAATACATTTAATTGGTCTTAGCTTGATTACCAAGAAATGGTTACAGGTGGCTAGAGACATCTGTGTGATTCTGATTACTGTATGCTCTCATGTCCCTAAATTCATTTTTAGCTATGAGTTTTTCAAGATTTTTTTTTTTAGTAAGTCTTCAGACTTACACATTTAAATGAAATTCTTAATTTTTAAAAGTTATCACTACAGAGATTGATGAGATCTAAAATTTAAATTGTAAGTTAAACTTAAGAGACATGCTTTTCTTTAAGGGCTCAGCTTGATTTGATGTCCACATAATTAGAGTCCTTGTGAACTATCAGGCTCTCTCTTAATGTCTACCCTATCTTAATTACCTACCCTTCAGAACTGAACTCAAACAAGATCCAAAATATCAGTTATTAAACATTGTTCTATGTTAATGGTTAATCCTTTCAAGACAGTTTGAGAGGGATGTAGGGAGAGGAATGATTATTATTATCATAGATAGGAACATATTTGTTGTAGACTGTGAGAACATTAAACACAATGTCCATAATAAATACTTAAATTTCTTTCATGTTTTTTAAAAATGTGCTCTTTGTTAAGGTAGATGGGTGCTGTCCAAGATATATCCTTAAGGTTTTAACATGAAGAGGAATTAATTGAGACTCTGTTTCATACATTCCACTACATTGAATTGTCACTTAAATCTTATTTAAGCTCTTATACAACATTATAGGGAGAGTGTGATTAATATGCTTGTTGACACTTTGATGAACATAATGTATGTGGTGAGTAGCCACAGGAAGAAGTAAACAGAAAGAATTTAAAAGCATAGCACAATCAAAAATCATCCAAATAACACCTTAAAGATAGCAGTAAATGTCAACTTAGTCTCTTATATTAATTGCCTTGATATTACATGCAAAGCATCTCTTTTTTGTTAATAAAGTGAATTTTGACATATGAGGAGGATTATGTAGCTTAGAAAGATAATAACTGACTTAATTTCCTCTTGAGATTATTATGATATAATTAGTTTCAGATAGAGAGGGTAAGATTTATGTGACTCTCAAGACTCCAGTGAAATACAACCATTAGTTTAAAGAAAGAAAAATGGAACGAAATATATGTGAAGGTATGTCCATTACAACTTATTTATGAAGAAGTTAAGATGGTGAATTGGGTTATAAATTGTTAATGTGACTAAAATGTATTGAATGTTTACTTTGTACTGGTACTGTGGTAAATAAAAATTAGGCAGGTCTTAACATGTTTTATCCTTATAAGAACAATATGAATAATAGTAATGTTAATATTCTCATTGTATAAATGAGGCCTTACCTTCTCAGAATCACACAGCTAATATGTGTGAGGGTCAAGGATGACACCAGTTCATTCTTCCATGAACCCAATAATAGTTCTCAATTTGACATTTTCATTGACTAATAATTAAAAAACAAAATGGTAAACTTTATTTGACTATTTTCTTTTGTACAGCAAGAATGATTTAAAACGTCTTATCACAATTTTATAAGTGGACATTCTAACACCAAATAACATGGAAGAACTGAATCTCA